AATTTCATTGCTTTCATGTATTTTCAAAACTTTCGAGAGAATGTTGAAGGTACGTATAGAATGGTACGTATAGGTATCGCAAAATACATGGTTTGAAAACCTGAGAGCAAATAGAAATTTCATGTCGGTTATCTGTAAACTGAGATTTGGAAACACTTTCTGCAAAAATCACTTGAAAAGAATAGGTATCACAATGGACTCAACATGCGATTGCGGAAGCGGAGAGAAAACAATAGATCACCTGTTTTGGGAATGTAATTTATACCAAAACGAAAGAAGGTAATCATAATAAATTTAGAGAAAGAAAATGCTATTTTCCCAATCAATTTACAAACGCTAGTAGTTTATTAATAATGACAAGATTAATTTATAAGTTATATATATAATTATTGTTTTTTCCAAATTATATCTTCGATTGTAAATGTTGATTGATTCTGGAGATAATTCACCCCTTAACTTACATTTCAGATTCGAAAATGTTGGGCCAAAAATGTAAACAAACTGGCGCAGCGTTCGGGCCCGGTCGCACGACTCGTATAACTGACTAACCCTGGCTTTGGAAAGCAAAAAAAAAATAATCCAAAAATCTGGGACTATACGATGACTTCTGGTATAACAGAGGCAGCCTTATGCCATTTAGGAAATTATAGATCAGAGTTAGATACATTTAATCTAATATTTGATGATATTTTTTGAAACATTTGTGACCGCCACGAATCAGTATGCAAATCAAATTCGGCAAACTTCACATACTACACAAAAAATTGACGACACTTGGTTTTCTGTAGACAATAACGAAATTAGAAGATATTTTGCATTGACCATATTAATGTCGCAGGTGAAGAAACCAAGAATCCAAATGAACTGGTCGCAAAGGGCTGTTATCAAAACACCCATATTTAGAAAACCAATGCCTTACAGGAGATTTCTGCAAATTACAAGGTTTTAGCATTTTTCAAATAACAGTCTAGTTGACAAAACAGACAAATTGTACAAAGTTAGACCTATAATTGATTTTTTAAACCAGAAATTCAAAGATCTGTATGTAATGAAACTAGACATTTCCATAGATGAATCTATTATGAAATTCAAGGGGCGTTTATCTTATAAACAATTTAACCCATCGAAAAGAGCCAGGTTTGGGGTTAAATTTTATAAACTATGTTAGTCCAATAAGCTATTGCTTTGGATTTAAAATATATACCGGCGAGGTCAAACTGAACTATGAAGATAGCGCTTCAGAAAGTGTAGTCAAAAACTTGCTGAATCAGTGTTGCACAGAGGTCACACTTTATACACAGACAATTGTTATTCTTCTCCAAAATTATTTATGACCTTATCATATAAATATAAAACAAATGTAATTGGCACAGTACGTTCGAATAGGAAAAATATGCCAAAAGATTTATGCAGTGTAAAATTAAAAAAAGGGGAGTACGTTATAAGAAGCTGCAACCGAATACTCGCTCTAAAATGGAAAGACAAGCGAGATGTTTATATGTTATCGACAAAATTTGAAACAGTCGAAATAATTTCGCTAGGATCTAAACGCATTTTAAAGCCAAATTGTGTTACAGAGTACAATAAGAGAATGAATGGAATTGATCTCCAAGATGTTTTCCAATAATGAGGAAAAACATGAAAGGATATAAAATTTTTTTTATCTGTTTGATATTGGCCTTTTTAATTCTTATATCTTATGGAAAAAACTGAATCACGAAAAGAAACAATGTTATGTCGACTATAAGATCAACATTGCTGAATATTTATTAAAGAATATGCCAAAACCGGCTTACAGAGTACGAGGCGTATTAGCTTTTGCTGATGCGCCAGATAGACTTTTGACGAAGGAATGGGGCCATTTTCCAAAGCATATTGACAAAACACCATCAAAATTAAGACCGTCAAGACGTTGTGCAGTTTGTAACAAATATCAAAAACGCAAAGAAACAACGTGGGAATGCAAGAAGTATGAAGTTCTCCTACATGTACCAGAATGCTTTGAAATATATCATACCGTTACCGTCTACTAATTTTGTATTTTAGAGTTACTCATTTTGTATTTTACAGTAACTGATTTTGTATTTTAGAGTTACTAATTTTGTATTTCGTATTTTTTTATTTTTATATTTCGTGTTTATTTTAGTTTTATATAAATATATATTTTATAATACTTGCGCCTACCGCGTAATTGCGTAGCAAATATTCAACGTAATATTTACATCTGGCTCGATTACACCGCGCGGACTATGCCCGTAACATTCACTTCTGGCCCGATCATCGTACGCGGGCTATGCCCGTAAAATTTAAGTTTGGCCTAGTCATCGCACGCGGGCTCTGCTCGTCATTTTAAGTTAAGGGGTTAACTATTCATGTATAAATTGTTACCAAATTTCAAGTCTAATTATTATTAATAATTATAAATCTATGTAAACATATGATATAACCTATATTCCAATTTACTAATATTTACTACATTGCAAAAAAAATATTAGTATTATAGACATAATTTATAAAGGGGGGCGATACATGTAAAAAAAAGCCAATTTTTGACGATTTATCTCGGGATGACTTGCTTGAAAGATGTTTAGGAGGTCACACTCAGAATGCAAATGAAAGTTATAATTCTACTCTCTGGCGCCTCTGTCCAAAACATCTCAACTCTGGACGGAAGATCGTAGAGATTAGTGCTTTTATATCTGCAGGATTGTTCAATGATGGGTTAAATTTTATCTTACAACTTATGAACTCACTGCAAATTGTTATTGGCCGTCAATCCATGTCATATAAAGAGAAAATCGATGAGCGAGAGTTTTTTTTTTTTCAATAATTATTACAACTGCTAATTTATTAACATTAAGTAATATTGATAAATAATAATATAAATTTAAACAAATAAAAGAGCAAAGGATAAAATTTACATGAAAATAATATCCGTATATGATTTAATGTAAAATATAAGCAAAATAATAATAAATAAGATTAATAAAATATGAATAAAATTTCAGAATAATAAAATAATACTAGAAAAATAATAAAATAAACAAAATAACAATAATAGAAATAGTAAGATAATAATAATAATAATAATAATAATAATAATAATAATAGTAATAATAATAATAATAATAATTTACAAATTTATAAGATCGTTTGGAATTTTTCGTTTTAGTCTTGTTGGGCGCGCTTCTGAGTATACTTTGTTGGCCAAGTAATTTGGGTGCTCGTCTATTCTTTTTTTGTAATGAGCGAGAGTGAATCAAGAAAATCGCCGCAGCTCTTTGACCACCAAACAAGCTCGTCAAGCATGTCTGCAGGAACTTGCAAAGAAAAACGAGTTCCTTGAACGTACCGAAGGACTTCTATATGGCCCTGAAATCGCTGATTAATCGGTAAGCCACTTTAATCATACAGTTTCTATGTGTCAAAACTTTAAACGCATTTTTCTCAAAACAACATTTTTGAAATTTGCGGGTGGGATAACTCAAAAAGTTCTCAACCGATTCCAATGAAATTTTGCACACATCTGCTTTACAGTAATAGCTTCTAGTTAAGCCTCAAACATTCCAATAAAATTTTCAAAAATTAACCCTATTATCAAAAGAAACATTGAAAAAAAGGTAAAAAATCAAACTTTTTTTTTCTGAGGTGTGCCAATTTACGATTTTGTGACTTTTTTTTGGGCTCAACTAGAAGATATATGTTTTATGAACACGTACAAACTAATTTTTTTGATTTCAGATCACCGTACGAAAAGTGAGAACGCCCGCAAATTGATGGCTTTTTCCGAGAGGGTCTTGGCAGATTTATTTTTACGGCAGCCATTTAAAAAAAAATTAAAAAACAAATTTTTTTGTGTATTTTAATATATGATAAATAACCCTAAAAAAGTTCTAAAAGATTCAGTCATTCCTTGCCAGTTTAAAAAGTCCTCAAAAAACGGTAAAAATTAAGGCGATTACATGTATCCAATTTTACCAAATTTTATACAAATTTATGGAAATTTACAAACTTATAGAAATTATAAATTACAAAATTTATCCCTATTTTGATAAAAAACCTTATATTTTGGGTTTCAAGACCATTGTGTCCCAAGATTTTTTAAATTATTTTGTATTATACATTTATTTTGTACTAATACGGTTCTTAGCCATATAGGGTTTTGATGTATAACATTGGGAACACCAGTGATCTACTAGAATAAAAGTTAATAGAAGATCATCATATTGCATTTTCGTGTTTTTTTTTTGAACTCAGCTTTTAGCGGTCAGGTTATTGGATCTTGAAAGAAACTGATTCCAGGCTGTGAGCGAATAAATCATTTAGATTAAAACAGCATCTAGAACATCATATAGCTATTATTTTTAAACGTTTTTGATACAAAAACTATTATATGAGGACCGTGACAAAGCCTGTCACCGAATATAAACTAAAATGTGTTGTTCTACCACATACGACTGAATGATGTGCTTATTTGATAAATTAAAATTGCTTTCAGTATTAATGTAATATAGTTCTTATAGTAAATAATGTAAATAAATATAAAGTTTTTACAGAATCTTCGATATTTTCATTACTAAAGGCGGCTTTACACTGTAGAGAAAAATCTAGGTAGAGTGTAGACTCTCTAGCTAGAGCGCTCCACCGTTGTCTGTACACTGTAAAGTGTTTTCCTGTTCCGAGAGCACTTTCGTACTCTAGGAGAGGAGTAGGTGAGAGGTGCTAGAGCAACTCTACCTAGATACTCTAAAAATCTATGCACACTTGTGGCTAAATATTTTAATATATATTAATCTAAGACTTTACAACTAGACTTCGTTTTTCAGTCTAGTTCTTGTGAGACAATTGACAACTTTTGTCGTTTTGTATCTTTGATAATAAAGTTATTATGATGAGTTCCCGGCAAAAACAAGGTTTAGCTGCATTGGTGGTATATTGTTTATTGTTTTTAATTAAAAAAAGAAATAAGAAAGTAAAAAAAATGTGGGTGTGGCCACCAGATGGCGCACCCAATATATCTTGAACCTAAATACCACAGGTTGCCGCCTGTAATATACGCGCAAGAGCGAGACGCACAACTGGCCAGTGAACTAGTGGGGATTGCTGGTCAGAGTATAAAACGGACCTACCTACGATAATCGATCTCTTTACCGCATTCGCCGCAGTCGGGAACGGATCAGCCTCTAGGACCCGGAAGAAGATTAAATCCAGGTTCAAGACTAAGCAACAACACTGATCATATATACTACTGTATTTATGCAATTTTATGTATACAATAAATATTATATCATATTATTGAGTTATTTTAGAAAAAATAATATATAGTGGAAATACCCACATAATTGGTGACCCCGACGAGTGGACAACCGCATATAAAAAAAAACTTCAAGCATGGATTCAGAAGGTACTCCTTCGAAGTGTTTACAAGAGTCTCCTTCAAAGCAAATTTCTCAACTCGACTTAGTGAATTGAGTATCGGTGAAAATTCCACCATTTTGGGAGAACAGCCCGGATCTCTGGTTTTCACAAATTGAAGCACAGTTTGACATCGCAACAATAACCAATGAGAACACAAGATTCTCATATGTAATCGCAAACCTCGAGGAGAAACAGGCTCGAGAAGTAGAAGATGTCATTAAACAACCGCCGACAGAAAACCCCTACTCCTACTTGAAGAAAGTACTTATAAGCAGACTATGTGCTTCGGAAGAAACCAGAATCAAACAAATCCTCTTTGAAGAAGAGTTAGGAGATCGCCGTCCATCGCAGTTTCTTCGACATTTACGTTCCCTTGCTGGCCACACGACAATCGGTGAAAGCATGTTCAGATCACTATGGATGCAAAGGCTTCCTGCGTACATACGCGCCATACTGCAAACACAATGCGACCTGCCTCTAGATAAACTAGCAGCTACCGCAGATAAAATTTTAGAGGTACAGCCGTTAATCCACCACGTAGATTCAACCAAGCAAGTGCACTATAATAAACCTTCTGAGCAACGCCAGAGTGATCAACTGGAAGAATTAACCAAGCAAGTACGCGACTTACAGAAACAAATTCGATATTTAAATCAAAAAGGAAGATCAAGATCAAAAAGTAGAGAACGGGTGGAATACACAAAATGTTGGTACCATAATCAATTCGGCAGAAAAGCAAGAAAATGTCAGGCACCCTGCTCCTGGAATATGTACCGTAAAACATCCAATACAAAAAACGAGGAAAAAGATCAGTAAAGGCGACGGCTGATCACAAAACTCCTAAAGGTCGCCTATTTGTTTTTGACAAAAATAATAATATTAAATTTCGAATAGATACAGGTTCAGATGTTTCCTGCTATCCTCGGAGGTCCATCCGCATGTGTATGTTATATAGCGTGTTATATAGGTGTTTTGATGTTATAGAGCAATATGTGTAGATGTTAACTTGTCAAAATGCAAAGTGCGGCTAGGTTGGAGCAACACTCCTCACGATTCGATATTTCTGTAAAGAAAACGTATAAAGTATTACACATCGTTAGAAAAGTCTCAAAATTCTTAGTTTTTTTCCCATATATCGCAACTTCGAACTCCGAACGGTGTGGCCTACAGGCGAGTTGCCGTCGTAAAATTTCAGGAAAATCGGAAAATCTCGAGAAAATTATATGAACACACTTAACCATTCATATACCATTTTATTCATAATTTTATTCTGCATCTTTGTACGAACAAAGTTTTTTCGTATCTTTTACGATTTTGATGTTATAGAGCAATATGTGTAGATGTTAACTTGTCAAAATTCAAAGTGCGGCTAGGTTGGAGCAATACTACTCACGATTCGATATTTCTGTAAAGAAAACATATAAAGTATTATACATCGTTAGAAAGGTCTCAAAATTCTTAGTTTTTTTCCCATATATTGCAACTACGAATTCCAAACGGTGTGGCCTACAGGCGAGTTGCCGTCGTAAAATTTCAGGAAAATCGGAAAATCTCGAGAAAATTATATGAACACACTTAACCATTCATATACCATTTTATTCATAATTTTATTCTGCATCTTTCGTACGAACAAAGTTTTTTCGTATCTTTTACGGTTTTGATGTTATAGAGCAATATGTGTAGATGTTAACTTGTCAAAATGCAAAGTGCGGCTAGGTTGGAGCAATACTCCTCACGATTCGATATTTCTGTAAAGAAAACATATAAAGTATTATACATCGTTAGAAAGGTCTCAAAATTCTTAGTTTTTTTCCCATATATCGCAACTTCGAATTCCGAACGGTGTGGCCTACAGGCGAGTTGCCGTCGTAAAATTTCAGGAAAATCGGAAAATCTCGAGAAAATTATATGAACACACTTAACCATTCATATACAATTTTATTCATAATTTTAATCTGCATCTTTCGTACGAACAAAGTTTTTTCGTATCTTTTACGGTTTTGATGTTATAGAGCAATATGTGTAGATGTTAACTTGTCAAAATGCAAAGTGCGGCTAGGTTGGGGCAATACTCCTAACGATTCGATATTTCTGTAAAGAAAACATACAAAGTATTATACATCGTTAGAAAGGTCTCAAAATTCTTAGTTTTTTTTTCCATATATCGCAACTTCGAATTCCAAACGGTGTGGCCTACAGGCGAGTTGCCGTCGTAAAAATTCAGGAAAATCGGAAAATCTCGAGAAAATTATATGAACACACTTAACCATTCATATACCATTTTATTCATAATTTTATTCTGCATCTTTCGTACGAACAAAGTTTTTTCGTATCTTTTACGGTTTTGATGTTATAGAGCAATATGTGTAGATGTTAACTTGTCAAAATGCAAAGTGCGGCTAGGTTGGAGCAATACTCCTTACGATTCGATATTTCTGTAAAGAAAACATATAAAGTATTATACATCGTTAGAAAGGTCTCAAAATTCTTAGTTTTTTTCCCATATATCGCAACTTCGAATTCCGAACGGTGTGGCCTACAGGCGAGTTGCAGTCGTAAAATTTCAGGAAAATCGGAAAATCTCGAGAAAATTATATGAACACACTTAACCATTCATATACCATTTTATTCATAATTTTAATCTGCATCTTTCGTACGAACAAAGTTTTTTCGTATCTTTTACCGTTTTGATGTTATAGAGCAATATGTGTAGATGTTAACTTGTCAAAATGCACAGCGCGACTAGGTTGGAGCAATACTCCTCACGATTTGATATTTCTGTAAAGAAAACATATAAAGTATTATACATCGTTAGAAAGGTCTCAAAATTCTTAGTTTTTTTCCCATAGATCGCAACTTCGAATTCCAAACGGTGTGGCCTACAGGCGAGTTGCCGTCGTAAAATTTCAGGAAAATCGGAAAATCTCGAGAAAATTATATGAACACACTTAACCATTCATATACAATTTTATTCATAATTTTATTCTGCATCTTTCGTACGAACAAAGTTTTTTCGTATCTTTTACGGTTTTGATGTTATAGAGCAATATGTGTAGATGTTAACTTGTCAAAATGCAAAGTGCGGCTAGGTTGGAGCAATACTCCTCACGATTCGATATTTCTGTAAAGAAAACATATAAAGTATTGTACATCGTTAGAAAGGTCTCAAAATTCTTATTTTTTTTCCATATATCGCAACTTCGAATTCCGAACGGTGTGGCCTACAGGCGAATTGCCGTCGTAAAATTTCAGGAAAACCGGAAAATCTCGAGAAAATTATATGAACACACTTAACCATTCATATACCATTTTATTCATAATTTTATTCTGCATCTTTCGTACGAACAAAGTTTTTTCGTATCTTTTACGGTTTTGATGTTATAGAGCAATATATGTAGATGTTAACTTGTCAAAACGCAAAGTGCGGCTAGGTTGGAGCAATACTCCTCACGAGTCGATATTTCTGTAAAGAAAACATATAAAGTATTATACATCGTTAGAAAGGTCTCAAAATTCTTAGTTTTTTTCCCATATATCGCAACTTCGAATTCCAAGCGGTGTGGCCTACAGGCGAGTTGCCGTCGTAAAATTTCAGGAAAATCGGAAAGTCTCGAGAAAATTATATGAACACACTTAACCATTCATACACCATTTTATTCGTTATTTTATTCTGCATCTTTCGTACGAACAAAGTTTTTTCGTATCTTTTGCGGTTTTGATGTTATAGAGCAATATGTGTAGATGTTAACTTGTCAAAATGTAAAGTGCGGCTAGGTTGGAGCAATACTCCTCACGATTCGATATTTCTGTAAAAAAAACATATAAAGTATTATACATCGTTAGAAAGGTCTCAAAATTCTTAGTTTTTTTCCCATATATCGCAACTACGAATTCCAAACGGTGTGGCCTACAGGCGAGTTGCCATCGTAAAATTTCAGGAAAATCGGAAAATCTCGAGAAAATTATATGAACACACTTAACCAATCATATACCATTTTATTCATAATTTTATTCTGCATCTTTCGTACAAACAAAGTTTTTTCGTATCTTTTACGGTTTTGATGTTATAGAGCAATATGTGTAGATGTTAACTTGTCAAAATGCAAAGTGCGGCTAGGTTGGAGCAATACTCCTCACGATTCGATATTTCTGTAAAGAAAATATATAAAGTATTATACATCGTTAGAAAGGTCTCAAAATTCTTAGTTTTTTTCCCATATATCGCAACTTCGAATTCCATGCGGTGTGGCCTACAGGCGAGTTGCCGTCGTAAAATTTCAGGAAAATCGGAAAATCTCGAGAAAATTATATGAACACACTTAACCATTCATATACCATTTTATACTGCATCTTTCGTACGAACAAAGTTTTTTCGTATCTTTTACGATTTTGATGTTATAGAGCAATATGTGTAGATGTTAACTTGTCAAAATGCAAAGTACGGCTAGGTTGGAGCAATTCTCCTCACGATTCGATATTTCTGTAAAGAAAACATATAAAGTATTATACATCGTTAGAAAGGTCTCAAAATTCTTAGTTTTTTCCCATATATCGCAACTTCGAATTCCGAACGGTGTGGCCTACAGGCGAGTTGCCGTCGTAAAATTTCAGGAAAATCGGAAAATCTCGCGAAAATTATATGAACACACTTAACCATTCATATACCATTTTATTCATAATTTTATTCTGCATCTTTCGTACGAACAAAGTTTTTTCGTATCTTTTACGGTTTTGATGTTATAGAGCAATATGTGTAGATGTTAACTTGTCAAAATGCAAAGTGCGGCTAGGTTGGAGCAATACTCCTCACGATTCGATATTTCTGTAAAGAAAACATATAAAGTATTATACATCGTTAGAAAGGTCTCAAAAGTCTTAGTTTTTTTTTCCATATATCGCAACTTCGAATTCCGAACGGTGTGGCCTACAGGCGAGTTGCCGTCGTAAAATTTCAGGAAAATCGGAAAATCTCGAGAAAATTATATGAACACACTCAACCATTCATATACCATTTTATTCATAATTTTAATCTGCATCTTTCGTACGAACAAAGTTTTTTCGTATCTTTTACGGTTTTGATGTTATAGAGCAATATGTGTAGATGTTAACTTGTCAAAATGCAAAGTGCGGCTAGGTTGGAGCAATACTCCTCACGATTTGATATTTCTGTAAAGAAAACATATAAAGTACATGTACATCGTTAGAAAGGTCTCAAAATTCTTAGTTTTTTTTTCATATATCGCAACTTCGAATTCCAAACGGTGTGGCCTACAGGCGAGTTGCCGTCGTAAAATTTCAGGAAAATCGGAAAATCTCGAGAAAATCATATGAACACACTTAACCATTCATATACCATTTTATTCATAATTTTATTCTGCATCTTTCGTACGAACAAAGTTTTTTCGTATCTTTTACGGTTTTGATGTTATAGAGCAATATGTGTAGATGTTAACTTGTCAAAATGCAAAGTGCGGCTAGGTTGGAGCAATACTCCTCACGATTCGATATTTCTGTAAAGAAAACATATAAAGTATTATACATCGTTAGAAAGGTCTCAAAAGTCTTAGTTTTTTTCCCATAGATCGCAACTTCGAATTCCAAACGGTGTGGCCTACAGGCGATTTGCCGTCGTAAAATTTCAGGAAAATCGGAAAATCTCGAGAAAATTATATGAGCACACTTAACCATTCATATACAATTTTATTCATAATTTTATTCTGCATCTTTCGTACGAACAAAGTTTTTTCGTATCTTTTACGGTTTTGATGTTATAGAGCAATATGTGTAGATGTTAACTTGTCAAAATGCAAAGTGCG